GCCGATGAAGAAGACAATATGATACGATATAGAGGAAATGCTGACTACGGGTGGTAGTCATAACCGCTTATGGAGTTTCTTACTCCGGTGTTAGAATACTCCAGCTATTATCCCAAACCTTTATCCATATCAATATGATTCATTTCTCGAATATGTTGTTACAAAGGAGATCGGGGTCAGGTTTGATTCCTCTAGTACGTATGAAAGCGAGAATTTTATTGCTTATGATTTTAGGGGTATCATCTCATTTAGAAAGAAAGCGATTTTAAAGTTCCCAGATGCGTAAATTGAGTCTGTTTTGCTGGCTTATTAAAACTACATTAAACTATACTCTTATCTGTGGGTCACCTTAATCCATACTGAGCCGTGTGGTCCTAGCTTCACGCTGTATATTCTTTTTGTTGTTGTTGTATACTGTAGAAAAAGCCGTCGACATTGCTTTTGTAATCGGTGCGTCTGGAGCTCAAGCGTCCTCAGTCTTTTCAAGAATGGTAGCCATCTTGAAGAACTTTGCTGATGAATATGAGATATCCGATGACAAAACTCGTGTTTCTCTAGTGGACTACAATGGTCCTGCGATTGCCAGGGTCTTCTTCAATGACGGTTACAGCAAAGCCAATTTTACAAGTTTCATGAGCAGCATACCTGGCCCTGGCGGACAATCAGGTACACTGAGCGGTGCTTTTACAAAAGTACGAGATGAGGTTTTCACAACGCAAAATGGCGAGCGACTATCTGCGGAGAATATTCTTGTTGTTCTGACTCCGGGAAACTTCGATGAGAACTCTACTGAGATCCAGAACGAAATCACCAATTTTAGAAGCAGTGCAGTGGTCATTGTATTTGCCATCACAGAGGAGCCGGGCATAGACAAGTGGGAGAAGATCTCCTCGGGGATCAACCTCATAGTTATACCCGAGCCAAGTAAAGATACAGAGGAGGCAAAGAAATTGTTACATGCTGTGAATAAAGTTAAGGAAATCTAAAAAACAAAAGACTGCTTTCGAAAGAAGTTCCCTGCAAACTCGTTTCTTGTTCGCGTACGCTGGGTGGGAGAAATGGCAAAATTTTTTGCTTGTTTGTTGATGTCTCACCTTGCGGATAACATTAGTTCAAAAAAAGACTGTTGTCTATGACAGTGGGGGACGTTTTGGAAAACTATTTTCAAAATATTCTGTTTTCACTTATCCACATAAGAAACCGAACCTTTTAAAAACGATTTGTCTTCAAAACTGCTACAACTTTTACACTTTCGCGAAAGTCTTCCTTTTCATCAGTGGCTTGGGCACTTTAGTATGTAAGATAGGCAAAAACTTATCAAAAAAACAGTGCGTTTTCAAACGAGATCGCATTTTTTGTGAATGGTGCCTCAGTTTCGAGCGAGTGGCAAAGTGTAGTGGCTCTAATTAGTTCGTTTGTTTCACAATGAAAATATCTGCATTGGCTGTAACAAGGCCTCTGTTACAGCTAATGCAGGAAACGATTTTCTTACAGCTGTTTTTCGTTTTGGTTGGTTAGACGATCGCAGTAGCAACCTAAACGATTTTAAATTGAATTGAATTTTAATTCTAAACAGAGTTTCGCAGCTGCGCAGAAGTGAAAGCATTCGGGTACTCTTCTGACGGCCATTACCTGCTTCATGTAAGCGATAGTTGTAAAGACCCAACAAGAATCTACTGCCATAATATGTCATCTAACACGCCGCAAGAGTTCATCACCTTGGAGTCGGGTACGGAGAACAACTTTGCTAATGTGTATGCCCACATCGAGGTNCTTGAGGTGATAAATTGTACAAACGGTTATAAACTTTTAACACCGTGGGCCTTGAGTCACATGTTATCTTATAAATATATACATATGATTTCATACTCAAACTAGTGTTACTTGGTAAACTATAATCTTGTATTTGTGAAAAAAGCTAAAAGGTATGATATCTGAGCATCTGTATGGGTACCCATACGGTCTTCGTTTTCTTCGCGATTTTTTTGCAAATCTTGGTTTTTTTTTAGGAAGATCTTCGTTTTTCGGATTGAAATGGGTTAAACGTTTATTTTGTGTTATTCACAGTTGATAAATATTTCACTTCAATAGCAAATTGCATAATTCACTGTTTAAATTCACGAAAAGCAATATAGACAGTTAAAGAAACTTACAATAAAGGACTGTTGTATTCTTTGGCAACGTTCTGTTTGTTCAGTTTTCTAGACTAGGACTGTTGACACCGTTGTCAAAATAGCAGTGAAATGTTGTTCAAGATTCAGAATCAACAAATGTTTTCTATATTATTTACGAGTTTTGACAGTTTTATATCTGAGTGTTTAATTTCATCACGCAAATTTTTGGCCAATTTTCAGATCTTGGCTTCAATCTTGAGATCTTCGCGTCTTCAGTTCGATTTCTTTGGAAATACCCATAGAGAGTCTCATGTCTTAATAGATAGTGTATGTAGTACAGTTTTCTCTCGTGACTTTTACCTATCGTGATGTCGCCTAAAGCCTCCCACCGAAAAGCCATTCCTAACAGAACCTATCTACTCCTCAGATGAATAACAATGACAATTAAGGGTGAGAAAAACAGCAAGGGATTAATTTTTTCTGAAGACGCATGAAAATATTTCTTGCAGTTCAGGACTTTTTTTTATTTTGGTCAATGTTTTCTTCTTCATGGACCTTTTTCCGCTGTGGTTTTTGTTCCTTTAGCAGATACTGAGATAACTGACCTCCAGGCTGATAACTACAGTTATTTTAACGGCTACAAGAGAAAACAGACGAAAAAGTTTCTCTTCGCCACTATAACTGTTTTGTTTTGTAACCATAGCAGCAACATATTAAGGACTTCTATGAAGGACAGCTGAGTCGATTAAATTTCAAAATAAATCATGCAATTTGCGAAATCTTCGTTTTTCCGCGGTGATCTTCGCATTTTCGATTTCTTCGGAAATATCCAGAGAAAGGCTCATGTGTTAATAGATAGTATATCTAGCATAGTTTTCTCTCAAGACTTTTACCTAATTTTTAACTAACTTTTCCGGCTCTACAGGTAGCGAGATTAAAAAAAAAAATTGGGATCGGATATCTATCGTGATGTCGCCTAAAGCCATTCCTAACACAATCCAATTACTCCTCAAATGAATAGCAAATGAAAATTATATTGAGGGTTAGAAAAACGTCAAGAAAATTGATTTTTTATGAACACGCATGTAAATATGCAGTTCAGGACTTTTTTTATTTTGGTCAATGTTTTCTTCTTCATGGACCGTTTTTCCGCTGTGGATTTTGTTCCCCTAGCAGATACTGAGATAACTGGCCTCCAGGCTGATAACTACAGTTATTTTAACGGCTGCAAGAGAAAACAGACGAAGAAGTTTCTCTTCGCAGCTTTAACTGTTTTGTTTTGTAACCATAGAAGCGACATATTAAGGACTTCAATGACGGAGAGCTGAATCGATTAAGTTTCACAATCAATCAGGTAAATTGTGAAACTCGCAAAAAAACCAAAATCTTCATAACAAACTGAAATGAGGAACACTTTTGTGAGCTACTGATGAATATTGCTGAGAATAGTTTCACTACTTTGAAAAGTAATTAGAACAATTCTGAATATTGATCGACTCGATCCACCCTCCACAAAAGGAGACAGAAAAAACACACCCATTTTTTTGTCTCATCGTGGTCATTTAATGTGAAGGAAAGTGTGTTTGTTCTTCAACATTCGCTTCTTGATGGCCATCGTATCCACTGATAAACAACGCAGACGAGAAAGAAGCATGAGCGGAATGGCTCTACACGGATTTGTCTTCAAGAAGATCTCAGTAACTCCCTTCCTCGAGTGTGACATCAGCTGTGAAAGAGAAATCAGGTGCCAGAGTTACAATTACGTAATCGGGGAAAAGTCTTGTGAACTGAATAACCGAACCAGAGAGGCAAGACCTAAGAACTTCCACTCAGACCCTGCTCGGTTTTATCACGTACGTTTTTTTGGCAGAGGTATGCATTAGATACTTTACAACCATAGCTATCCCCGGTGGCCGAGTCTGAATTGTGTGCAATCGAGGTTCTGTTTAGCAAGAGAATAAACGGCTAATTCTTGTGCTTCTTTTATCTACTTTATGTAACAGCTCCTCTGGGATCCATTCCAGAACTGCCTGCAGAGTCGTGTCGGGAAATAAAAGCGAGCGAAGGTAAAGACGTCATCAGCAAGAAATACTGGTTGGATTTAAGTGCATCTGGAAAGACAGCTTTGGTTTACTGCGACATGGAAATTGAAGGTCTAATTTCACAGTTGATTCGTTACTCGATTTAA